GTCTTCGGCCCTTGGCTCGGGGTGGGCTGTCTTTGGCCCTCAGCTCAGGGTGAGCCGTCATGGCCCTCAGGGTGAGCTCCTCAGTCCCCAGACTGCACCATCTGACCCCTGGGTAGGGAAAAAAAATGCCTAGGGTATCCAGATAATTTTATCTAGACTACTTTCTGCCACCCTCTCCCCCAGTAAACCTGAAAGACTGCAGTCCTTGACCTTTGCAGCAAATGCTTCAGGTTCTCCTCAGTTTTGGCAAGCAAGGTTGTATCATCTGCATAATGCAGGTTGTTGAGTCTTCCTCCAACCTTGATCCCACTTTCCTCCTCATAAAGTCCAGCCTCCCAAATGATCTGTTCTGTATATAGATTGAAAAGTTAGGGAGAAAGGACACCTTACAGCCTACGAAATCCTATGAGGCATTTCTATTCTGTCACATGGGATCACTGAGTCAGAATCAATTCTGACAGTATATAAGAACAATAAAATTATTATTACAAAAACGAATAAACTTTAATCTTTAAATTAATCTTTAAGCTTTTAACTCTCCCAATTTTCTACTATGCTTCTCAGGTTTTACTACGCTTCAAAATAAGCCAAAAAGCAGAGCAAAAACTGTATTTTATTGGTATTTAGATCAACCACAATTCTCCCAAAATAAATCAGAACAGAGTAATTTATTTAACCTGACTAAATAAAACATGTAAGTAATTTTAAAGTTTTTGCCTAATTTACCATATGATTGTATTCATGCAAGTACAATACCAGAACTGCCCTTCAAAGCACATGTTGTAGCACCATCTTCCATTTGCAGTACTTAATTTAATGAAAATTTCATTATCAAAACATATCTGGCTTTAAATGTAAACATATCTGCTACAAGTAAACTTTATTAAAGAGTAAAAGTGACTGATACTAATGAACAAATCAAAATAGAACTGCCATGATATAATAAGCATTATAATACTGTTTCAATAAGAACCTCAACTTCATGAGTTGCACAAAAAGGAAACAAAAAGTAGTGTGTAAACTCCCAAAATAGTGTCCAAATACTGAAGGGTATGATACCAATTTACCCCCAGAAAAACAAGAGGAAAAGTCAAAACTGTAGGAGCGAAAACTAAATTTGGTTTGTATGTCCTTTTTTGAAAAGTTACATTATTTAATCACCTAAATTGTGTAACTTGTAGGAATTTCTTATTTATTATCACTTGTAATGGCTTGACTTCCATAACTTTTCAGTTCTAAACTGGTTTTAATTTCCCAAATTAACAAAGAAAACATTAAATTATCTTAATGAAAATTATTAGTCTAATCATCATTTTGCTTTAACAGAATAATATAGAAAAAGTATACAAATAAATCCTGAAAAATCACAGAAAAAATAGTCAATGAATAGGCAAAAATGTTCACACTTACCATTACTATCAATTTTGTTTACTTTCAGGATAAGATTAAGAAATAAATTTTCAATAAGTCAGCAAGAACATTCAGTGCCACTTTAGATTTATTTGCAATAAACAAATGAGTTATATTTCTGCAGTATAAGGCAGACTCTACTTAACTCTGAAATATAACAAAATTATAAAGACTTCAAATTTCCAAACCCAGATATAATACTGTGGCAAGCAAATTTGTTCATATTGCTCTCAAACTGCAGCTAAATCTACAAATGTGAACATTTTCCTATAAATTATCTCAAACCATGCTAACACAAAAGAGTCTATTTCTGTTGGCTTCCACAGATGAAATTAAAAAGAAGTAATAATGAAATTAAAACATTATTCCATGTTTTTTAGTGTCCTTAAATATGTTTAGTAAATTCAAGCAGCACTTGAAACAGCAAGTTTCTTCAGATGATCCATGAACACTTGTAAACTAACATCATCTGTGAGAATGGGTGCTCCAGACTCCTAGAGGAAAAATGAATTGTTATGATTAAAATATAAGATGGTATTTTGGGATCTATACCTAAACAATGCATAAGCCAATAGATAAGACAAAAAGAATTTAAATAGACTAATGCACATACTCTACAGTCATAGCAGAACTGCTAAAACATTGAAGTGACTGTCCTGAATATAATGGTGCTTTTATCACAATTAAGAAATAAGTGTCCCCAGGGATTTTAGTGCTATTTTTTAGAATAAAATACTAACTATATATAACAGAAATGCCAGTCAGAAGGAAGTGATTTTTTAATATTTTAAAATTAGCCACACTTATTAGTTTTCATTTAGCCCTGTTGATTATAACTGACTACTATTAGAAACCACCCAATTTCTAGTTTAATGAAAAATGTTTATTTATAAATAATATGATCCATTAACAATAAAATTTACTTAATAAGAAAAAGGTTTAGCATCCATATTTTTAAATGTTTTCTTTATAAAAACAGCTAAGGAAAATTCTTTTGCAGAAGATGTCAGCAAGCTAGGTGATAAATGTAGAGTAAGGATTCTCGTGGTTCTACTAATGCCATAATCTCTGTAAAATAGAGAAAAACTAACTGTATTATGTTTTCTGATGCTAATTCATAGGCACTTGGAAATCTTGATTTTGAGGGAAGGCAACAGCACTGGGATTAAAAGTACAAGAGTCTGGCATCAGACTGTACTCAATCTCAGCTCTGCCATTTACTGACTATGTCACTTTGAGGAAGTTATTTACTGTCTCTCTTCATTTCCTCATCTATGAAATAAAGATGATAACAAGACCTATCTCTCAAAGAGCTGTGGTAATGATTAGTGTTGTTGCTAGGTGCCACTGAGCTGGCTCTGAGTCACCGTGACCTTTTACATATAACAGGACAAAGCGCTCACTAGTCAGGCACCATTCTCATCTCCACTGTGGCAGCCACTGTATCAGTCTATCTCACTGAGAGTTCCCCTCTTTTTCTTAGACTACTTAACATGCATGATATCCTCCATCAGAGATTAAAAGAGTTCAACTGCATAAAGCAATTCAAATGATAGCTAGCATACAGTGTAGGCACTCAAAAGGTTTTAGCTATTTTTATTATAACATCTTTGAAAAATGTACAAAATTAACATTGAAATACTTATTCCTGAGTCTGCATTCACAGTCAACATACACACATGTTTTCCATCTCAATTCCAGATCTATTTCTCCTGGTTAAGACAAAACAGATAAGGATTTTCTAATTTATGCACTGTAGGGATCTTATTTGAAATTAGAAGGATGGACAATCTCCCGTGTGATTAACTGCCTCTGAAAACCTATGGGTCAGTTCTAACTCGACCATACAGAACAACAATGTTCAGCTCAATTTTACAAAAATTGAGACCAGCAGATGGTTTTAAATTTTTAAAAGGACTTTTTTTTCTATTTGAGATATATCCAGAATTAAACCAAAAGGCTCAAGCTTTCTAGTGTTAGTGTAGAAGCCTCGAGCACAGTCAAGTCACAGAAGCAGTGTGGTAGTGGTGCCCTCTTCAGACCATTCAAGGATATTGATTCATCACTAAATCATTTTTTTCTGAAAAAACTTTCAGGCAAAGCACATCATTTGCCATAAAGTGCTTGACAACTAAACTTAATTGTATAAATGTTAATAATCTTATTAGCTCAATGATTAAAATTCATATTCTAGATTCAGACTCTGCTGGTTGAATCATGTGATCACAGGTAAATCAGTAACTTATATACGTCTTACATTCTTCTGAAAAATAGGGCTAGTCATACCTTTCTCATAAGACTTATGACAATTAAATGAGAGCGCACAAAAAGCTTAGCATACTGAGTAAAACAGTTGTTGTTGTTGTTGTTGTTGTTGTTGTTGTTGTTGTTGTTATGTGCCGTCGAGTCGTTTGCGACTCATAGCGACCCTATGTACGACAGCCCTAAACCCTGCTCTATCCTGTGCCAATCGCATTGCTTCTGACACACCCATCCCGATTACCCCAGTCACTGAATCAATCCACTTCATAGAGGGTCTTCCCCTCCTGCGCCGTCCCTCCACCCTCCCAAGCATCATGTCCCTCTCCAAGGACCTGTCCCTCCTTACAACATGTCCAAAGTATGTCAGACGAAACCCAGTAGGGATTCAATTTATTAGTTATCATTTTTATGATTTTAAAAAATGTTAACATAATTTTTCTTACAAAATTTTAGGTGAAAAAGATTTTAGTACTTATCTTACTGCCCTCGCACCCCTCCTTACATGCAGTAATAATTAAGTTTCAAGGTTATCTTTGTGATTTCAAATATCTTCAATTTTCTTTCCCACTGAAAACCAATAGCTAGTATTTAGCTAGCATTACTGTGGATACCACACAAAGACTTGCAGACAAAGAAGTTACGGTTAAAGAGCAGTAACTTGGCTCAGTCAGAAGGTGAGGGGACCACCACCACCTTGTTTGGTACCAGAGTCCTCATTCTCAACTATCACCCACTAATGATGCATGTCTATATTTAATAACACAACAAGTTCTTCATAAACCTGTCAACTACATCTCCATATTGAGATTTAAACCTCAAAATAAAAGGAATAATTAGTTTCTTTTTCCTATGAACTAAATCACAAAAGAAACTGTGAGGATGTTGCAGGATTGGGCAGAGTTTTTTCTATCGTACATTAGGCTGCCTAAGAGTCAATTCAACAAGGCCAAGCAACAATAACAACAAATCACAAAATGTGACTTAAATTTAAATGAAGAAACCCAGCCGGAGGGAAATATGTTTTATTTGTTCTGAATAATGTGAGCTCACATACTTTGTTTATGCTAAAATTATGTGGTTAACAAGTAGCAAAAGGAAGAAAGCAGCTGTCCCCTTTAGACCAGATTTTGTGTACTCTAACCATAAATCCTAGCTCACTATAAGGGGACTGATCTTGACACTGAGGTGTCCTCTCAGCCAGCTTCACTCATGTTACTCAACTGACACCTGCAGGCATTTAAGGTATTACCGGTTACAAGTGCTACTGTAAGACATCCTTTAACTTCCCTTCTCCATACTCATACACCATTTCCTTTCATTTTTATTTATTTGTACAGACAGTCCCTGAGTTACCACCAGGATTTGTTCCCAAGTGCGTCCTTAAGTCAAATCTGTAGATAAGTCAAAACAGGTGCAATTCAGTTCTTATTTGCCATTAAACACTATAAGAAAAGGCTTGAAGTATTCTCCATTATGTAAAAGCCAGACATGCAGCAAGTGAAGGGTACTGAGATGAAGATTTTTGTTGCTAACTTGGGACTGGTTCCATTCAAAAGTGAGGGCAAATTTATATAATGTTAAAGGGCATACAGAAGTTGCCTACAAGTCTGGCATTCATAACCCAAGAACTTAATGTATTATTTTTCTGTTATGAAATTTTTACGTTTCTTAATAATCTTTCTATTCCTCTTAAGTTTATGGGATAGAAAAATAAAAGCAGTAATACTTGACTGCCTAGAATGAAAAATAATGTAAAGGTCGGTTCAAGATAAAATCAATTATCTAACCATCCACATTACACTATCATTATATCTGATTTTTTGTCCAACACTTTAGCAAGTAGACTGGTTATATTGAGCCTATACAGACATAGATAGATGAAAACTTTTATCTGTATTATAAACTCTTCCAATGCTTCAAAAGATTAAGCTTCTTTCCTTATTATAAAACTTCCTACCTCTCAAAGAGTTATACACTTTAGACAATTTAAGGTCACACAGATGAGAAAGTATGCCTACTGTATTCAAAGTGGAGACAGAAATTCAATTTCCCTAGAAGGACAAAAGTAGCTTAAGAAAGAGCAAGATTTTTGTGTCATACTGTAAAGGTTCTTCAAAAGCAAAATAAAATGTTTATCTGTTAAAAAAAAAAAGGAGTTTATCTATAACTCAATAGGGGATTACTGAAGATTTCTGAGACTAGTGTGACATTCAGGACTGCTTGAGGGAGACTATTTCTGGCCACTGCCAAAGTGGAAGAAAAGGCTGAAGCAATGATATTTAGTCGATAACTGCAGATGAAAAATACTAAGGACTTAACTTCAGGTAGTGATGTGGGAGAGAAAGGAGGTACACGATAAAGAAGTCAAAGTATTTGTCAATAACTAGATGCAGAAGTGATAAAATACGCATATCTAAGATTCCAGGCATTGGAAATTAATTCAGAGAATAGTATCCTCTGTAAAATTAAAGTCTGGAAGACAAGATAGTGTGATAAGAAAAAAGTCCAAGGTGCAGCATGCTGATTTATAAGAAACTCAAGTGAAATAAATACAGTAGGCAATCTGAGAAACACTTAAGTCTATAGTTTAAAGCAGGTATATGGAAAACGGAAATAGAGAAGATGGAGGTTTCTAAGATAGCCTCAGATGAAGGTCGAAGTCATAGGAGTATACACAACTGAGCAGGTAAACAAAATGTAGACATAGAGAAATGAGGGCAAATTTTTGAGGAACCAACTATTCAAGAGGAAAGGGCTTTATTACCGTTTCACTTACATTCGACTTAGTTTGGATTCCATAATCAGTTATTTGGCATAGTTCTAGATTACTTCCCTCTCCTTTCTAATGTCTTTTTCTCATCTCCAATTCCGTAACACCAAAGACTTGCATCTTTGATCTAGTAACTAAACTATGAAGCCTAGTGAAAGACTTCATATTCTAAGAACTGTTAGCAAATAAAAATTGTCCTCTTTACCGCTCCTCTAAAAGGCTTTTATTCCGTCTCTATTGATTTTTTAACAAAATTACTAATAGTTCTTTTTTAAGTCTCCTCTATTTTTATCCCCTGCTCCTCACACTCAGCAAATAATCTCTTATTCCTGAAAAAACAATTATGTAGTATGAATTTTCTCTCCACTTCACTCGTTCTGTATCTTTACCCTTTCTCTCAACTCCTCTTGGTTCTACAGAAACATCCAACAACTTCTTAATACTCAGTCACCATAAGATACTTATTAATATTTTGCCTCCTCCTTTCTGAGACCTTAAACATTCATGCCTATTCTTTTGTGTCCCCTAATAATAATGATCTTAGGGAGCTCTGGTGGCCTAATGGCAAGAAGCTGCGCTGCAATCCCAAAGGCACATGGTCCGAGGTCACCAGGTGCTCCACAGGAGAAAGATGAGTGATCTCACCTGTGTGATTAAACGCCTTTGAAAACGCACTGGAAGGTCAGCTATGGGTCAGTCAGTTCTGATTCTACAACATGCAATAACAATAATGATCTTATTCTTGGCCTACAAGTAAGTTCTTTTCTCTTACTCTCTTCAAACTCTTTCATATATCTGCAGCATCTCAGTGTTGTTTATCCTCTTTGTCTTTCTCCTATTAAGTTCCCCTCATTCTTATGGTACAATAATGTTTCTTCCCTCTAACTCTATATTATTTATTTATTACTTTACCACTTACACTTCCAAGTTTTTGTCCCATCTCTCTATCTTCTCTCTCCTCAAACAAGAATCTACTCTGCTGACTTGAAGTACTGCTGAGAATCAATTTTCATAGCCTTGCCTGGACCACTAGATCTAAGTTTCTAAAGTTATTGTTGTTACATGCCATGGAGTCAGAAATGACTCATAGTTAACCTTCCAGCAGGATTTCAGAGGCCATAAGTCACACAGGGAAACTGTCCATCTTTCTCTTGCAGACCAGCTAGTGAATTTGAATCATAGAACTCTGGGCTGAGAGCACAATTACATACCACTAGGCCACCAGAGCTCCCTACAGCTTACTTAATATGGCTATTTAGATACTATCTGAAACTCAAAGTAAATAAAATCAAAATTTTCTCTACACCCTTCAACTTACTAGCAGGGGCTCTACTAGTTACACAGGCTCAGAATCTGGAATTGCCCTTCTCTCCTCAACTACTTAACTTTTTAAGAACTCAAACCACCAATGATTACAGATGACACTGAATGGCTCTGAAGTATGGTAAGGGAGAAGAGTACTGAATGTCTCTCATGCTTTGCCAAAAGAACAAAAATCTGTCTTGGAAGAAGCACAACCAGGGTGTTTCTTAGTGGCAAGGACAGTGAAACTCCACCTCACACATTCTGAAGACTGTCAGAAAAGATGATTCCTTGCAAAGATACAGCAAGATAGATGGTCAGTAAAAGAGAGGAAGACCCTCAACAAGATGGACTGATACAATGGGCTGGAACACTATGTACCTTACAATAGCACAGGACAGAGCAGGGTTTCTATCTGTTGTTCACAAGATCACTAAGAGCTGTAGTTCAATGCAGCTGACAATACTCACATTTCATTAATTGTCCCAACTATGTCATTTACAGCTGTTGTCTGTCACACCTTTAATCCAAGATCCAATCAATATTCAAATATTGCATCCTGTTGTCATGTCCTGGATTGCTTTTCAATTCTTCTCCTAGTTTCCTACCAACTTCTTAGCAAGTTCCAACAAGTTTATTTTTTTTTATTTCTCTCTTGCTTCTTTTCCTTCTCTTCTGCTTCTCAAATATGCAGCATTTCAATAGACAGCATTTTAATCTACATATTATTCCTAATTAATCTTAAAACTCCATTATAAATCTCAACTTTACCACACCACCCTAAAACTTTCAGCAATTATTTATTACTTACTAAATAAAGGTGCAACTTCTCATCCTCAACTTGCCATAATATATTGCCAGTTTTATCTTCCCATGCTAGCCTCTATCTACAATTCCATTCTTAGTTTGCAATTTTTAAAATAATACTCTGTAAGGTACTGCCTCCTCTTTCTGAACTCTTTTCTTACATACCCACTCCTGCTGCCACCATGTGACCTCTTCCTTTCTTCCTATCATTGTATTTCAATTACTTAGGTATTCATTTTATCTCTAAGGTCTCCAAAGACAAGGATGAACACTGTATATCCTGAAGTTCCAATAGAGCATCCTACAGAACCATGACACTTGATAAATGTCAAAAATATTATACTAAGAGGTGGGACTTTACCAAATTAAACTATACCAATAATGATTTCCACAATTTCTACCACTGTGGTTCAACTGTATTCCCTAGCCTCTCCTGGCTTACCGTGGCCTTTTATGGTTCACGGCCTGGTATTAAGCTACGCCATCACTTCGATTTTATAGTATATGCTTTAATGCTTTTTGTCTCACAGTACAATGCAAAATTTGTAATATGAAGAGTCTCTACTTCTTAAGATCACAATTATATTTTCTATGATGCTACCAAATACTAATTCTATTTTCAACTCTTATTTTTTCATTACTCTCCCAACAGAAATCATTACTAAATATATAGGGGGAAAATATAGAGCTCTCACTGTACCAACAACCTACAAATACATGAAGAAATAATTTCCTAGATCTGGTATTTACACATACCTGTCCCCAGGCATACATATTGTTATGAGTCTGTGAAGGGTTGACTTTAGAAAGCAGGAAACGGGCCTTAAAAGCAAATAAGAAATAACATTATCCATCAAAAATAGACTTAGTCAATATAAGCTAAATGAACACATTATGCCACCCAAAAATCAATTTTCTTTAAAATGTCTTGGTATAATACTTCACTGAATTGAAACTTTGGAAAATCTGAGCTATGCTCTGAAGTATGTATGTCACGTATTTCTATTTTACAAATAAACAGTGAGTGAACTTTCTTCTTTCCAAAGTATCACAATAATAGTCTTAATAATCTATAAACTGGGTCCAAAAATTGCATATGCAACAATTATGCTGAGGATAGTATGAAATTTACTAAACCCGTGATATGAAACAGCATCAGAAGTTCAAAAATTACAACGATATATAGTCCCAGAGTTATAAACAGATTTGTCCCTAACTATGTCTTTAAGAAATCTGTAGGCAAATCAGACCAGGTGTATATGATGGCAAGCCTACCAGCCCAAATACAAGCACTATTTACCTGGCTGCCCCCGTGTTCAGTGTCGATGTATCTTGGCATTGGAAATCTGGAATGAAGAATCTCCTGTGCATCATCTAATGGGGCTTGCAGAAGGTGACGGAAGTTTTCATACTCTGGCATGTCCTGGTATCCTGACTTGCGCCACTGTGCTATAGTCTATTTTTGAGACAATTAAAGGATTATTATTTTATTTCTTGTCCACTTGAAAACATTTAGCACTTGTTCAAAGGAAATAATCAGGAAAAAAGAAAATTATACATTCATCTCATCTTAATTTTCTAAATTATATTTCAATTTAGTAGAAAAAAGTGAACAGAGGCCAAGTTAGGATAGCTCTACTTTAAGAATAAAAAGAAATAATAATTCAGACAGAAGGATATCTGAACTGCTATGAGCAGTTAACTAATGTTAAAAGCTATATAATCTAGTGCTTGCTACTATATTAAAACTGGAACAATACAGAGAAGATTAGCATGGTCCCTGTGCAAGGATGACACGCAAAAGTTATATACCTAAACCAAAGATAAATTGTTGTTATGTGCCACTGAGACAAAATCAACTTGTAGGACCGTCCAGCAGGTTTTCAGAGGCTGTAAATCACACAAGAGGAGACTGTCCAATCTGGCCACCAGAACTCCCAAAAGGTAAACTGAGGTTGAGATTTCTCAGACACATGAAAATTGCTTATCTACTATTACAAAGTTTTAACCAACAAAGTAAAATTAAGGCAAGGAGAAACCTAGAAAGTCATAATAGCAAAAATAAAATTATAAGGTTAACATGTCTATATAAAAGCATTTGAACCATTTTTATTAAGGTAAATAGATCCAAAAACTATATAGTTAAATCCTCTTAAATTTAAACCTGACTTTGTTTCTAAATTAATTGAATAAGCAACATATCTTGGGGCAGCAGGTGGATTTAAATTGCTGACCTTTTGGTTAGCCACCTGATTGACACTTTACATATGAGGTTTCTTTAAAATGTTACCTAATATCTCTAAAAATGAATGTTTTTACTAACATTTTTATTTCTTCAGCACAAATCAAAGATAATTTACCATTACAACAACTGGAAAAAGTAACTGTACATGTTACTAAAATATCAATGTTAGTAGAGGTCCAAGAAAGATGCCTTTCTCTCCATTAAGTATCCAGATTATAGGGCTTTTTGTCTGTTTTGTTAAGTTTTGTTTATTAAGTACTGGATGAATAGAATTCTGCTAAGTATCTGGATTAAAACATAATGGCTACTTTGCGAGTGCTCCCCTTTCAATGTCTTCAGGTAAAAACCCAAAAAGGTGAAAATGTGAGTTGAAGTAATTAATATAATTAATGTACGGGTAGTCTCAATACTCTTACTTTCACAACACTATGGTTTATGTGAAATCCATCATGTATGGACAAATAAGTAAAATAAGCATGTTATTGTTGCTGTGTACCATAGAGTCAGAACTGACCCATAGCTGACCCTCCAGAGGGCTTTCAGAGGCAGTTAAACATACAGGGGATCGCCCATCCTTCTCCAGCAAAATAAGCATAGATGGATCAATTGTAAATGAAATATAAAAACTTGTAGTAAGAGGAAACACATAATCATAGATTCTAAATCACAATGACCCTAGAGAGAGCATAAGACCCTCCCAAAGAGCTTCCAAAACATAAACATTTAGAGAAGCAAATTGCTTCTTCATTCTTCAGTGGAACAGCTAGTAGATTCAAACTACTGACCTTTCAGTTCATACTACAACACTTAATAATTGTGCAATCAGGGTTCCTACTGCCCAGACTGGGGGTGGGGGTGGGGAACGACTTCCATGTAAAAAGACTTTACTGTGGTGTTTTAAATGCTTTAGACTCTTACCTCACCATGATAAATTAGGATCTGGAAGAAGGTGTCCATGAGAAGAATACGATCCGCAAGAATGCTGCTGCTATCAAGAAGAACCGGCTATGAGAAAACAATGAGAGAATACAATGAAAAACAATCACTTCAGAGGCATCTGATAACCATCTTCTGGATTATTTTTAAACTTTAAATTTACCAGATGCTCTGCTGGAGAAAGAGGGGGCAATCTCCTCCTGTACCATTCAGGTCTGATTTGACGGTACACGTAAAAATAATACAATAAAAATTAAAAAAAAAAAAGAAAAGAAAACCTTTAAATTTATATTTTATTGCTTAAAATCTTTTAACCTATTATTACCTCTCTAAAAGTATTTTAACTGAATTTTTATAAAATCTCTACACCTCAGTAACCAAGATTAAAAAAACTGAAGATTCATTTGCATAAAAACAGTTGTTGTTTTTTTCCTTGTTGTGTACCACGGAATCAGTTCTGACGGGCACAGGAGGAGATTGCCCCTCCTTCTCCAGCAAAGCATCTGGTGGATTTAAACCAGATACCTTCGGGATTGTAGCGCAGCTTCTTGTCACTAGGCAACCACAGCTCCCGTATAAAAACAGTATTTCAATTTACAAGATTAAACTGAATCACTTGGGAACAAGAAAGAGGTAAAAAAATTGAGCCCTGGAGCATGTCAACATTTTGAGGTCAGTCACAAGGGGACAAAGCAGCAAAAGTAGAACAAGAAGGAGCAGTCAGTGAGGATTAGGAAAACCAAGTAATATAGAATCTGTCACAGAAGGATATGACAAAAAATGCTCTCAAGGAGAGAAGCACCACTATGTAAATGTTGCTGAGAACTCTATCAAGATGCAGGACACCGATACTCTTAAAAGACTTAGTTAAGTATAATGATTGGGATAAAAGTTTGACAGATACAGCTTGAGAAGGGATTACGAGGAAACAAAGCACAAATAACTTTTGTGAATTTATTCTGACAGGGGACAAATAAATGGGCTGGCAGAAAAAGAAAGGTCAAGGTTTTCTTTTGTTTTTTGTATGAGGTCTGTTAAGGATTGGTATCAGAGTGCTTCACGTAGCAAAGGAGGAAGTAAAAATCAGGCAAAAGAGATAAATTTCCAGAGCAAAGCCTTACGAAAATGAAGATAATGAGTCAGGTGCCAACTGGAAAAGCTGGCATTTGAGAGGAGCAAACATTATGGACTTGAGATTTCAATTTTTTCCTACACATCAATCTATATTTTTCAAATGTCTATAATTTACATTATTTTGAAATATGAGTTATTTCCAAAACTTAATTTTCTAACTAAAATACAAGACCATAATATGCTAGATGCAAGTATTTTTTTCAAAAGCATATTTTCCAAGAAAATTAGAAATGAAAATCAAAAAAACAATTATGTACCATTTTACAAAACAGCAAATAAAAACATTATAAGAGATTATAATCTATTGTTATTGCCAGGTACTATAAAACAGTATCTTCATACTTAACTTTTTAAAAGTACTGTCTTCAAATAGTCATTAGATATTTTAAGTGGTAAATCAGAAACTTTACCCACACACATTTTTTTAATTATTATTTAAAAAGAAGTGGGATCATTTTCTAAGAAGGTTAATTGGCTAAGTTTATCACTCTTTTAATTATGTCTTCATAAATGACTGTTCAATGTTCACAAAAGACCAGAGAAAACCTGAGATTATATTAAAGCAAGGAATTTTGTTTAGACAGGATATCCTAATTGGCAGCAACAGGATGAATGGTGAAGAGATTGAGACTGTTAACAGTTTTAGTTTGCTTGGCTCCACAGTCAACACTCTTGGCACCAGCAGCCAGGAAATTAAAAGATGTATTGTGATGGGAAAGTCTGCTGTTAGAGACCTCTCCAAAGTACTGAAGAGAAATCGTGTCACTCTGGAGACTAAGGTGCGCCTGATACAGGCCATGGTCTTTATAATCACTTGCTATGTGTCAGAGAGCTGGACAACGACTAGGGAGGAAGGAAGGAGAATTGATGCCTTTGGGCTGTGGTGTTGGAGAAGAGTATTGAATATACCATGGACTGCTAAGAAAACAAACAGGTTCATCCTAGAGAGGGTTAAACCAGGCTGCTCCCTCTGGATTCTGACATACTTGAACATGTTGTAAGGTGGGACAGGTCCTTGGAGAGGGACATCATGCTTGGGAAGGCAGAGTAACAGCGCAGGAAAGGAAGACCCTCAATGAGGGTGGACTGATTCAGTAACTGGGGTAATTGGGGTAGGTGTGTCAGAGACAGCGAGATTGGCACATGATAGAGGGCTGTTGTACATAGGGTCGCTATGAATTGCAGGCAACTCGACGGCACATAACAACAACAAACTCTTGAATAAGTTACAGGCTACTGTCACTCTGTACAATTAGAGACATGAAATATGTTAAGACGACAGAAGCTTTATAGGATTTGATCAGCTTTCAGCATTTTTAAAAAATTAGTGGATTTAAATGATCAGTTTTTTAACCTCATTTTATAATTTTATTAATAAACACTCAAATACTTTTCTAATAATGCATGGAAATCACATTGCCATCAAGTCAGTTCCAATCCATGGCCACTCTCCATCAGGTTCTGAGGCCGTACATCTTTATGAGAACAGACAACCCCATCTTTCTCCAGCAGAACAGTGGTGGATTTAAACCACAGGTGTCTTAGCAGCCCAGCATGTACCTGGCTATGCCACCACCAGCACAGCAGTGCTTCATCTCACATCCTTTGGGTACATTTTTAGGATGTCTTAGAAAAAGACATCATACTAGGAAAGGCAGAGCATCAATGAAACTCTCAACAATTTAGGCTGACACAGTGAGCTCAAACATGGCAGAGGTCATGAGGATGGCCCAGGATAGGGCAAGATTGAGATCTGTTGTTGATAAGGTCACATGAATCATATCTTTTCTAACAGTCGGCTCAACTGTACTGATCAAGAACAACATGCCACTTGTTGTTAGGTGCCACTGAGTACACCTCAGAGCAACCCTATGAACAACGTATCTGAACCCTTTCCTATTCTGTTCCATCCTCATCATCCCTGACACACTTGAGCCTACTGCTGAATGGAACCAGGGCTCCTTAAATATATGAATGGCTAAGAATAATACTTTTTCTAATTATATCCCATTATATTTAGTAACTATGTTTCAAAATCAGCTAGTCTGGGTTTTTTGTTTAATGTCATGCATCACAGTAAATTAAAAAATGTCTTTTAAACAAACTGGGGAGGAGGGTGGAGAGAATGGTGCGGCAATGAAGGAGTGAAAGCCCAGAATCCCTGTGAATGTTCATTGAAACTAATAAAATTTAATAATTAAAAAA